AAATTGCTTTTGTTGAAAGTTCGTTAATATTTCGAGCAGAATCATATCGTCGAAAGTGCTTGCGTTATACGAGAGTTGACTCTCGAAGGTACCACGTTGACGCTTCTCCATCTCCGATCAATTTGTCCTAGAGACGCGAGAAACGTCCTCATTCAGTTGGTTTCAGAATACAAGTCTCATGGGTAAAAAGGGCACCGTCAGAATCTCAAAGAGTTGGTCGCGTACAGTTCTACTTTCTTGTCAGCTTTATACCCATCGTCGCTCAACTTTCTTCAGAGGGACACGTCCTTTCATTCCCCGTCTTCTCTCACCCTTTCTCAGTGCTTCGTGCTTCGTGTTTCTCATTTCTCATCAAGGCCTATGTCTCTCGCGACGAGTGCACTAGACAAAGAAATGTCCCGTGCGCAATGCAAATGGAAAATTTGATTCACTACGAATGAACACTTTACTTTTAGAAAAAAAAGACAAAAAATAAAAAAAAGAAAAAAAAAGGAGAGAAGACAAAAATGGACTACAAATAAAGAGACGAAACAAAAGAACTTCTTTCACTTTGATTAACTTCATGCAATTACATGTTTAATGTATATAACCACATTTCTTAGTTTCAAACATTTTTCAGTAGAATAAAACGCTTGAAATTTTTCTCAAAAATTATTTTCTTTTTTATTTTTCTTCGTTTATTTACTGAATTAATAAATTTTTTTAAAAAGCGTTAAATGATTAAAAATTTATTTAGATTTTCATTCTGACTTTCTGGTTCATTCTTTTAATGAAGTAGAAAAGTTAGAATAAAATTTATAGTCAGACAATTTAAAGAATTTTTACTGTAAAAAGTACGGTTAGACAAATAACACTTTAAAGTTAATACAAATTTTTACAGTTTATTTGAAACAAATTTTTAATTAAAAAAATTATCTATAGTCATGTAAATATTTTTTACAGTTGAAATATAATTTACAACGACAACTTTTTTCAGTGGAAAAATTTTTTTCTGTCAGATAAATAAAACTTGTTTGATTAAAAAAGTATAAGAAATTTTTAAGTAGTAAAATTATTTTTAGTAAGGCAAATGAGATTTATTAAGTAGAAAAGAAATTTATACATTTATATAGTCAGACAACAACATTTTCCAGTAGAGAAATTATATATGGTCAGACAAATAATACTTTGTTTAATGAACATTTTTACTGTCAGCTGTAACAAGTTTCTAAGTGAAAAAATCGTCTTTAGTCAAGCAAATAATTTTCAATAAGTAGAAAAAGATTTTTTAGTCAGACAACAATAATTTTCAGTAAGAAAATCGTTTACTATCTGACAAATAAGATTTTTAAATTTTAAAAAATGTCGGCTTCAACAAATTTTTAGTAGAAAAATCATATTATATCAGGTAAATAAAAATTCTATTAAGTAGAAAATAAATTTATAGTCAGACAACAATTTTACAGTAAAACTTCGATTACAGTCAGCTGTCATAAATTTTTAAGTGGAAAAATCATATATAGTCAGACTAAAATTGTTTTTTAAGTACAAAAAAAATTATAGGCGAACAAAAAATATGTACAAAGTCCTAAAATAACATTTTCGTGTTACAAATGTTTTTAACAATTAATAACAAATTTAAAAGTAGAAAATTCATTCATAGTCAGAAAAATAAAAAGTTCAAATAAGTAAAAAAAATGTATAGTCAGAAAAATAAAAATTTACAGTAAGGGAATTTTTTGCAGTAAGCCAAGTAACACTTTTTAATTAAAAAAATATTAACATTCATTTTAAACAAATTGCTAAGTAGAAATAATAAACAATAATTTCTAAGTAGAAAAATCATTTATATCCAGTCATGAAATCTTGTATTCAGTAGTAAATGAATTTATAGTCAGATATAAAGAATATTGCAACTAAAGGAACAAAAAATAATTTCAAAGTAGAAAAATCATTCGTAGCCAGACAAATTAAAATTATTATTTAATCCTTGTGTACTTTTCCTTTTTTTTAATGTCAGAATTTTAATTATTCACACATAAAGTTTATTATAGAGTCTTTTTATAATTTGGTTCATTTGGCTTTAGCTCTCAATGTTCAAAGAAGTGACGAATTAAAATATAAATTGAAAAAAGGTCTATTATATAGATGTAGAGTTTTAAATTCAACAATATAGTTGAAGTCGTCAGTAAATGTTTTACATAATTGATTAAAGACTGGGTACCAAGCTAGGCGGTTTTAGCACAGTTAAATACAGAGTTAGTTTTAAAAATAAATTAGTAGTTTCCATTCCATTCGCTTAGTTAAATGTAACTACCGCGCAACCAACATATGGGAGTGCAAGCGCATACTTTATTAATCATATAATAGAATTGTAAAAAATGTAGAGATAAACCACATTAAAAGTGTAGTAAATTTTTTATATAATACATTTTCATTTTCCCTTTGATTTAAATATCTAAAAATGTTTAAAATGTCAACAAAAAATAATTAAACATTAATCGGATTTGAGGTTTATCTGAAATCAATTTTTCAGATGACAAATTTTCTTCTTAACGTTTGAAAAAATCTTCCTACAGGGAATATTGATCACAAAATAAAAATAGTAGTTGTTTAAATAAATAATGATCACTCTGTACAATGAAATTAAAAATTAAAAATAACTAAAACGTTTTTAATTAAAATAAATACTATAACTTTATTAGACAGATATATTTTAAATTTTCAAGTTGCTTTTCAGCAAAAAAAGATAATTTAATCATACGAGAATATTTTTTACCTCTTGAAAATATAAGGTTTTTTTTATTAGAGAATATTTTTTTTGATAATATAATTATTAAAATACAAAAAGTGTGCTAAAAAATAATTGAGATATTAAATTAGAAATTAATTCACTCTTTCAATTAAAGATTCTCTTCAATGGTAAGTGGATCTTATGCAAATTTCATCATTTTTTAAAATTTAATAAGATAAATTATTGCGTTAAAAGAAATTTGAATTAGAAGAAATTTCTCCTTAGCTAAAGAGATTTTTATTTTTTTTTATTAAAAATTTAAATTTTTAAATTATATATTTTAATAAAGAATTTTAATGTGAATGTATTTTAAAAATAAAAATTTTTAATGGAAAGAAATATCAATCAGGGGCGAACTATATAAAAACCAAGTTTTGATCTTAAATTCTTTTAATCGACAGCAGTTCAATTTCTTAGTAAAAAAATCAGTTGTACTTTGTATTATGTCAAATCATTTTTATTAAGTAGAAAATAAAATTATATTCAGACAGCAACATTTTTCAGTAGGGAAATCGTTAACTATATGATGAATAAGATTTTTAAGTCGACTTAAAAAAATGTCAATTTTAACAAAAGTTAAAAGTTTTGAAGTAGAAAAATCATATAATGTCAGAAAAATAAAATTTCTATTAAGTGGAAAATAAATTTATAATCAGACAACAACTTTTTTTAAAAGGAGAAATTTTCATGGTCATAAAATAAGATTTTGTGGTTTGAAAAATGTTTACAGTAAACTGTTTTAAAATTTTAAGTAGTTACATCATGGTTAGTCAGAAAAATAAGTTTGATTAAGTAGAAAATTAATTTATATTTAAACAACAACATTTTTAGTAGAAGAAATATTCATGGCAAGTCAAATAAGACTTCGTTGTTTAAAAAATTATTTACAGTTAGCTGTTTCAAATTTCTAAGTAGTAAAACCATGCTTAGTCAGACAATTAAGTTTTATTCATTAGAAAAGTAAGTTATAGTCAATAAACAACATTTTTTAGTAGACAAATAACACTTTCAAGTAAATAAATGTTTACAGTCAGCTGTAACAAATTTCTAAGTAGAAAAATCTATTTTGGTCAGGCAATTAATTTTAATGTAGTAGAAAACGTATTTTTAGTCAGACAACAATATTCTTTAGTAGATAAATGTTCACTATCTAAAAAACAACATTTTATTTTAAAAAAATTGTCCACAGACGATTTTAAATGGTTTTTAAGTAGAAAAATCATATGATGTCAGAAAAATAAAATTTCTGTTAAGTAGAAAATTAAGTTATAGTCAGACAACAACATTTGTAGTAGAGGTATTGTTTGCAGTCAACCGAATAACACTTATTCAAGTAAAGAAATATTTATTATCATCTTCAACATTTCCTAAGTAGTAAAATCATCTTTAAACAGATAAATAAGATTAAATAAATAGAAAAGGAATTTTTAGTCAGACAAGAATATTTTCTAACAGGAAAAGTAATGCTAGGAAAATAAAATCATATTAAGTAGAAAAGAAATTTATAGTCAGACAAAGAGTTGTCAGTAGAATTAAAGTTTATGGTGAGACAAATAACACTTTTGAAGTTAATGAAAATTTTTATACCGTCAGCAGAAAAAGATTTCGAACTGAAAAAAATCGTCTATTGTCAGGCAAATAAGTTTTATTAAGTATAAGACGAATTCACAGTCAGACAGGAACATATTACAATAGAGAAACTGTGTTCCGTCAGATAGTTAACTCTTTAAAGTATAAATATTTTCACAGTCTGGTGTCTTAATTTTCTAAGTAGATAAATCGTCTTTAGTCAGACATAAAAAAGTTTTATCAAGTAGAAAAAGAATATGAGGAAAAAATTATTTTTTAATGTGCAAAAATTAAATTATTAGAGAATAAACCAAAGAAAATTGTCAAAATGTTAAAAAAAGCATATTCTAAAATTAATTAAAGAATTATATTCATTAAGATGGTGTACAGTATCCTTTGAATAATGTCAAGGAAGTTCATTTAAGCTTTGTAGTCTCCTAATGTGAAATAAATACATGTCTTTGTCTCAAGAACAAGAGAATTAATTCGCATCTAAATTAACTTCCTTCGCCTCCCACCATCTTCTATTTCTTCCTTCTTCCCTCCTCCTGCATTCAGTGAGTAATTTCGTGTATATAAATTTATGATAGCGCGCCGCTCGGGATCCCTGATAATTAAGTAAAGACTAAAACACAACGGAAATGAGGAAGAAAGGATGAAAGATCCTTTGACCCGTCAGGAATGTCGTTTCATCTCGTCGCGCCGGTATTACATTAACGATTGTACTATTACCGTTATCGTAACGGATAAAATGAGCCGTTATATCAATTTCAGTTTGCGAGTGAATGTGCGACGCTCTCACACTCCCCCGGAGACGTAACATTTTCAAGACTTGCGTTTACGCTTTTCTCACTCTCTCTCTCTCTCTCTCTTCTCTCTTTTTCTCTCTTTCTCTATGTTCGTATATTATTGCTATCCGGACGCTTGCGCGCCTCGCAGGTGCAATTGCGGTGTGCGTGCAGGTGCACCTGTCGTCGAAGGGTGCGCAAGCGTCCAGGTAATCGTACATAAAGCTTTGAGTCGACGAGCTTTCACAGTCGGCAAACGCCGCTCGCGTCGCGTGTTCTCCCATTGAGCCGCCAACCCCCATGGATGATACACGATCCTCTTAATAGTTCGATAACTCTTGTGAATTAAAAAGACGCGAGTGTTTCAACTTCTTAATCAATCATTTCTTTAATTAATTTATTCACCTACTAATTTATTTACTCATTCTTTCAATTATTTATTCATAACTTCACTTTCTTAACAAAAAAAGAAGAATTTTATTTCAAACTTTTCAACAAATAATACTCTGATTACTGTCAATTTATTTCAAATCAGAGTAATTAAAAAAAAAAAAAAATTACAATATCCAAACAATAAAAAAAAATTATCAAAAAAATAAAATTTTTGTTTTTACCGCGAAACAGTTCTTCAAAAAAAGGATACAATTAAAAAAAATTTTTTTTTTCAAAAAAAAAAGAATAAAATTCATTATTAAAAAATAGAAAAGTGAATATAAACTTAAAATTGCTTGAATGTAAAGAATGTCTTGTTTAAATTTACAAAAAAGTTTCGTCAACTCTCCACTCACTGTATCACGTGCGCGCGAAATAAAAAACCGTTTGGAAAGTTAGAATGTAAACAATTTTATTCAAATGTTCGTTTATTTGGAAAGTGTCGCTGAAACGTGTAATTTGAGATAGTGCCAGAAAGGAGAGGAGGGGGGGGAAGAGGACTTGACAAAAAAAAAGAGGGAAAAAATGGTGAAACGAGAGAAAAGTTCATTTTCATGCAAATCGATCAATCGACTTTTTAACGATTATTTTAAAAAATGCGACAAACTTTGATTAAAAAGCAAAAAAATAATAAATTCATCTCAACAAGGTGAGATTGCGAAAAACTTTACAAAACAATTGTTTTTTTTTTTTTTTTTTTTTTCATAGTTTATGGTGGTATTTTTCATTTGTAATAAAAATTTTTTCTATCGATATATACTTTTTTCGGGATGGTGAAAATCTACTTTAATAAATAAATTAAATCTACTTCTTAAAGAAAAAATAGAGAAAGTGAAAGAAGTAAAAATACAGGAAGTGAAAAATATAAAAGGTCAAGAGTAAAGGAAGTAAAAAATACAGAAAGTAAAAATATAGAAACTAAAAAATAGGGAGAAGTAAAAAATAGAGGAAGTAAAAACTAAAGGATGTAAAAAAACAGGAAGTAAAAAATACATAAAGTAAAAATACGGGATGTTAAAAAAACAGAAATTAGAAATACAGGAGGTAAAAAATACAGGATGTAAAAAATACAGAAAGTAGAAATACAGGAAGTAAAAAATAGAGAGAAGTAAAAAGTACAAGAAGTAAAAAATGTAGGATGTAAAAAATAAAGAAAGTTCAAAAATATAGGAGGTAAAAAATAAAAGATGTAAAAAACAAGAATCTAAAAAATACAGAAAGTAAACATAATAGGAAGTAAAGTTACAGGAGGTAAAAATATAAAAAGTAAAAAAAGGAAGTAAAATTAAAGATAGTAAATAATACAGGAAGTAAAAAAATAAATAATGTTAAAAAAATATAGGAAGTAAAAAATAAAACAAGTAAAAAATATTGAAAGTAAAATATAAAGTACGTAAAAAATTCGGATGTAAAAAATTAAAATATAAAAGGCAAAGGAAGTAAAAAATGAAGAAAGTAAAAACTATACAAAGTAAAATATAAAGTACGTAAAAAATTCGAATGTAAATAACGAAGGAAGTAAAAAAGTACAAAATATTGGAAGTAAAAAATATTTTAAAAAAACCAAGAAATAAAGAAATTAAAAAAAAAACAGAAAATAAAAATATTTTCCACGCAAAAAAATATTTACCCAAAAAACAATAATAATTTTTATCGGGAGAAACAGCAAGTTTGTAGAACAATTTTATTTCTTTACAAATAAACTCTCCGCGAATCGTTACAGAGTTATTTTTATATTTTGTAACTATTTATAAAGAAAATTAGGGGAATTAAAAAAAAAAATTCGTAGAATTCTATCGATTGAAAATAAGCCGATAAACAAATAATTATCTTGAACAAATTAGCGTCTCGAATGTACTAAAGGGGTACATGTTGAATGAGAATCGATTCACGTTGCCGTACACGTGTGGTGCGCACTTCAATTTAGACAAATAATCCTCTTTTGTTTCAAAGCACGTCAAACATCGATAATATTGTGTATAACTTTTGATAGGTATAGTATATAAAACAGGAACCACTGACATATGATGAAGAGATCAAATAGAAAATATATATACTCAACATTTTGCAGAATTGAAAGCAACTAATTAAATATGTGATTTATATATACATATTCCTAATTATTCGCTTTCAATAATAATAATAATAATAAATACAGATCACTTTTCTCCTCTATACGAAAATTATAAACTACAATAATATTGTCTGATTTTCTTTTTTAAAAAAAGAGTAAAATAACTTTTTTTTTACATTACATAAAAGCATTATTACTGGGATTATTAAAATTGAATTTTTCGAGGTTTTAAAAGTAGAATAAAAATAAAATAAATATTATAAAAATATAGAAAAAATAAAATAATAAATAAAGTATAAAAAATAGTAAATTGAAGCAAATTGAATTGCAAAGTAGAAAAAGTGTAGTTGAGACGCATTATGAATTTTTGATATAATTTAATGAAAATGATTTTTACTGAACAAAGTTTTTTATCATGAGTTTAAAAACTTTCAAGCAGAAAAATAAGTTATTGGACGAGAAAAAAATTAAAAACTTTTTTTAAAAGAATGACGAAAATTACAAAAAAAAATAACATGGAACAAAAATTTCTCATTCAAATGAAATTAAAAATTGAAGTATAGAAAAAAAATAACAGAATAGAAAAATAAAAATGTTTTGTGTAAAAATTTTATTCAATCAAACACAAAAGATTTTTTAATTAAATTTACATTCTTACAAATTAGTTTCTACTAAAAATAATATTTTAGTTAAAACAAGAGTTTCTACTACTAATATTTGAGATAAAAAAGAAATTTTTACTTGACTCAAAATAGTCTTATGTAACTTTTTCTCTAGTTAAAAAAACGAATAAAAAGGAACTTTATAAAAATTCTTAATAATAGGAAATTTATTTTTTTGTATTCTTTTATTTATTTAAAAAAACGAAATTAATAAAATTTCCAAGTAGAAGAAGTAATTATTTAGTCGGAAAAAATTTAATATACACAAATTTCTTGTAAGGTTTGAAATTCTGCGAGTCACTATTTTTAAGTAGAAAAAATGTGTGTAGTCAGACACAAACGTCTTTTCAGGTCAAAGAGAAATTTCATTCAGAAAATTCTTTTTTATTAGAAAATTCAATTAAAATTTCATAACTATAATCATAGGAATATTATAATATATTTAAAAAAATTAATTTCTCATTATTCTTGAATGTATAATTTAATTTTACGTTAGAATAAAATCTCAAAGTAGTAAAAAATATATTTAATCAGTTATAAATCTTAATGGACAAAAATTTAATAAGACAGTAATTTAATTTAAATTTTATTTTTTAATCGGACAATAATTTCATTGCATTGAATCGTTTTCAGAAATATTCAAAGAAAAGTGGAAATAAATTAAAATTAAAGTTCTAATTCTAATTCTAATTTAAATTTTGATTAAAATTAAAATGAAAGTTATAACAATAATTAAACCTAATTAACAATTTTATTTCTCTACGCAAGCAATTGTCATTGTAAGACTGTATACTATTGAAATAAATAAAATTATAAATTCAGTTATATTAATTAATAATTAAAAATTAAAAATTAATTTATTAATTCTAAATAATGTTGAACTTGTGATTGAAAAAAATGTAGTATTTATAAATTTTTTTAACGGAATTAATTTTAACAAATTACAAAACGAATTGGTACACTAATAAAATGTACAGAGCATTACATATTTACTTGTTGTAGTTTACTATTTGCTCCATTGGCTCTCGAGGGACAATTCCATTGTTTAATTAAGTGTCGCACAAGCGAAGAGGAAGGAAGCTTAATTCAACGATAATAATATCTAATACCGTGCGCTGATTAGGTGCTGCTTTTACAATAAATTACTTTTTTTTTATTATTTCCTCCCCTCGCCCAAAAAAAAAAAAATTATTTCCAAAATATACGACAAATTAATTATAAATTTCATTACTTTACATTAAATTAAAAGTCAATAGTTTCTTTATCAATTTAATTTTATTCCTATAAATTTCTATTTAATTTTCGATAATTTACTTTCATTAAACTATTAAACTTTTGAAAGTCAACTCATTACTAAATTTTCTTGTCTTTATTCTATATTATCTATTTTATTACTTGAATAATTTGAGAAAAGTTGCAGTATAAAAAGAGAGTTTAATTTATAAAGAGAAATGGAATGTCTACTTACAAGCTGACATGTTGTTAAATTGAAACCGTGAAAAGTTTGTTAAGAGAAAAAGTTATCAAGTATCGAGAAAATAGATGTGAAAGACGATCCCATCATACTGATACTCCTCTTAATTTCAATCGATACTTGTTTTGATGTCAGTTATAAATACTTAAAAGGAAAATTACATATTATTCATATTGTAATATTAATAAGAAAAATAAATCTGTTAATTAAATTTTTATTAAAAAAAAATGTCCCTTGTAAATTCTTATAAATTTTGATTTAAAATCCGATTGTTTTATTAAAAATAAAATACATTATCTACATATGAATGAATAAATAATTATCACATTAATATTCATCTTCTTGTGAATTTAAAATAAAATGAAAACTGACGAATAGGAATTTAATTTTTATTGTTAAAAGACATTTTTCAATAATTTCTATTTAATTTATTAATCATTAAAATGTAATAACAAGTTTAAAAATATTAATTTCCTTCTCTTTAAAAGACAATAATTATTAAATATTCTTTCCATTATCTTGATTGAATTATTGAAAGAATCGTTAATTAGTGTTTTATAATTAAAAAACATAAATTTGTCATCGATATATTTCTTCTTTTTTTTTAAACAGTAAAAATTCAAACCTCGATGGAAAATTTGTAAAAATATTGGTTTTGCTTTAGTTTCTCGCAAAGATAAACGAACAGATGACAAAAATCAAAGAAATTTTTAGTATTCAGTTTTTTCTTCTTCTTTTTGTCATTTGCTACGCATGGTTTAGGGACTTTAAAACGTCACATTTTATCGTGAATATTCATAAGGACATGCATATTTTTTCCTCTTGAATGTAAAAATCTGTTTCCTTAAAAGTCTTTTCCTTTCCATCGTTACTTTACATGATGTATGCACTACGCGGATCATGTTTAAATCAAAAGGATTTAACAATTTTCTCTTATAAATCTCTGTGAAGCTTAACAAGCATTTTCTGATTTATTAATCTCAAATATGAAATCAAATAGAATTAATTATACATAAATTCATGCGCCAAAAAGAAACAAACAAAAATTCTTTTCTTAGAATATTTTTTTATACCAATAGACATTTAATGTAACTGGATTTTTTTTATTAATTATTAAAAAAATGTTTTCTTATTCAAGAAGACAAGACAATTTCTTTTTTTCAAATATGATTTTTAACAAAAGAGAAGAAAAAAAAAAAGATTTAATAAAACTTTCTTTCACTGAGGGAAATTAAATTCTAACATTTTCTCTCTCATTTAACTAAAATGGAAAAATGTAGATATAAAGGATAGATGAACAGAATATTCTCTTTTCGAAAAGTTCCATTGAAATTATTAAGGAATTAATAAAATTTTCATTTCAGCCAATCATCTTTCATTTTTATATAGGTATACAGTGCGTATAGGCCAACTTTATAAAAAAGCACATAAGATACTAGGAATAATAATAATAATAATAATAAAAGATAATTAAGAAATTAACTATATCCCTTGACGATTGAAAAATAAAATTGATGGTGAATGAAAACAAAAGGAAAGAATAAGAAAGAAGGAAGGAAAAAAATAAAAATAAGAAAATGAAACAATAATCGTGCTAAGGATTGGAATGGCAAAGTTATAGCGTTCATAAAGGGCCGCATCTTAGCTTTTATACGATAGCAAGAAGGTAGTTAGATGACGACCACCTGGGGATTTGATAACATGAAAATCTTCCGGAATCGTCGACGCTAAATTGACAAGGAACTTAGCGATACAATCCTTTAAACACAAATGACGCTGTAATTTTCACAATTCAAATTAATTCAAATTTGCATAGAACTTAAATATTTTTTCTGGTAAATTCGAAAATTACCCCAGCGCGTAAATTAACATAAAGAATATAAAGTATCTTCTTTTTTTTTATTTTCATCATAAACGAGAAAAGATCATTTTGATTTTTTATTATAATTTAAATAACGTTTTAATATCATTAACAAATTATTCTTCTCTTATTTAATGAATAAAAATAAGGAATAAAATTTCTTCTTTATTTTGCTAATAAAAAACGAAAAAAGACTTTTTTTTATATTTTATTATAATATATAATTTGAATCACATTTTAATATATTAGTCAATTAATATTTTACGTTTATTATAAATCAATTTAAGTTTAAGAATTTCTGTAAATAAATTTGAAAATTGTAATAAATATTTTCCAAGATTACTGAAATATCCCGTCTATTATTTAAACATTTAAATATTCCAACTATTATTTGAAATACCTTTAAAAAATTCTATCATTTGAAATACCATTAAAATATTCTAATTATTATTTAAAATATCAACAAAATTCTAATCATTATTCAAAATCCTTTAAAATATTCTAATTATCATTTAAAATATAATTAAAATCATATTTAAAATTATTTAATTTAAAATTATAAATATGATTATGATTATGATTATGATTATGATTATGATTATGATTATGATTATGATTATGATTATGATTATGATTATGATTATGATTATGATTATGATTATGATTATGATTATGATTATGATTATGATTATGATTATGATTATGAATATGATTATAATTATAATTATAATACATTATAATCAGCCACTATATTTATACTGAAAATTAAAGTGCCGGAAATGAAAGAAGAAGAAGACAATTATGATTGATAATCATCAAAAAGAATGTGTATTAAATGTAAAATGAATTTTGAAGTGAAATTATTTCACTTTTTTATTATTATTAAATGGAATAAAAATTGTGACAGTTAGTGAACAATAAAAAAAACAGTGATAAAGCACGTTTGAGACTTATTCTTCTTATTTGGAAGTAAAGCTGTTGCAATGGATTTTGTCCTATTAGTATTGATGGCACTGTGGCAACAAGGAGGTGAGTTTATCGATATTATATATATTTTTTCTCCTCCTTTCTAAAATAAATAGCAATATTTTTGAAATACAATCCAACTGAAAGTAATTATCAATATCTAGAGCGATAGAAAAAAATTTAATATCATTTTTTTTATTTCTTATTGACTCAAAAAAAAAAAAAAAACTAAAAATATACTTCTTTGATGAATGAAATATAACAGTTTCTGTCAGTTAATCCAAAAAGAAAAATTTCCATTCACTGGGAATATGTTTTTAATAAATTTTTCCTTTATTAGAAATTAGAATATTAGGATTTTAATAATTAATAACAAATATAATTAAAAGAAATGTTTTTGTAACAAATTTTTGTTGGACATTTTTTTATGTTCTTTTTATGTTTCATTTTTTTTTTATTATTTTCTATTGTTTATTTAAATTTTATTTTTGCTAAGGTAAATTGATTAGTCTAAAATTAAAAAAGTTATAAGCATTTAAAAAAAATTTTGGTCAAGGTTGGACCTTATAGTCTGGGTTGGACCATGTCTTTTGAACTTTATAACTTTTTTTTGAAAAATAAATTTAGGCAAATCTTCGTGAATTAATTTGTCTGAAATTAAAAAAGTTAAAAACCTTAAAAAAAAATAAGTCAAGGTTAGACCTTATAAGTGGCGCTAGTGTTCTTATTTAAAAAATAGCGTGGTCCTACCTTGACTAACGTCCAACCCTGACTAGGTGTATATTATTAATTATTTATTAATTAAAACAATAATAATAATAACGAATGTAAAAAAATTGCAAACAGAAAAAACGTTATCCATTTTTCTTATAATCGAAAAGAGATATTTGAATTTTTTTGATGTTTTGCGGTCATTGTTCGAGTGTATCTAAAATAACTGTTTTTTTTTTTACTAATTACTCAAGCCAGTATAGAGTATAAAGTTATCAGAATTTTTGCCCGAAAAAAAATATAGAGGAGCTTTGCGAGTAAAGCGTAAAGCAAAATAGAGAGGATTTATTATGCCCTGACACTCAACCCCCCCTAAGGGTATAACAAAAGAGTGGTCTCCGAAGTGCAATGATATAAAATAAAGCGCACGTTGTGTTGTACTGAGGAAAAAAGCTACATAGACATTAAAATCACGTGCGCATAATAACGCGGCTCACTGAGTTACATGAAAACTTTCGCGCGATAATAGAAGTCAGTTTTATATAATACACATTAATGTATATCACGAATTTTCAATTTTACGTCACTCATTTAGTTCCTTTTCTTCTTTAAAAAAAAAAAAATAAAATAAATGAAGACGTTTCAGTGAAAATTTTATTGAATTTTATTAATAATCACGCATATATTAATGAAACTACCGACATACACACACACACGAAGATATAACTTTCATAATTTTATTATACTGCTTCCTATAAATCTCCCTAACTCTATTAATATACGCGTATTATACGGAAAACTTCCCCTATTTGGTTTAAAGAAAGTTGAGCTTTTATATAATGCGCTTTGATATATATAACGATGATAAAAGCAACATATTATCAGCCAATTGAAGATAAAACAGTCAGTTAAAGCAATACAAATAAAGAAAATAAAAATTATTCTATATTTATTGCTCTATAATTTATCTCTTTAATTCTTTATTTTATTTCTTGATTCTTCGATTCTATAAGAATATAGTTTTATCGTTATTATGTTTTATTGATGATAAATCCGATTTTGATAAAAGTAATAAATTACAAATTTTCTTTTTCCTAGCAAAGTATTTCATATTATTACTATTAATATTACTAATATAATAATGTAATATTGTTATTATATACTAATAGTTAACTAGCAACAATTCGCGCGCTTAAAAGAGCGCGGCTACCTTCTCACTGCCTTTTTTTTATATAAAATTAGCAATTTTAAAAAGAATAAAATTTAAAAATTTTCTAATTTAAATTTTTGTTGAAAACACTAAAAAAAATTAAATTTTGGAAAAATTACAAATAATTGCAAAAATTCAATAATTTCCAAAAAAAAAAATTCTTATAAAATTCAACTATGTTCAAAATTTAAAAAAAATTCTCGTAAAAATCCAATTATCTTTATGAATAACAAAATTCTTCTCCAAAGTTCAATTATTTTCATAAATATCAAAAAAATTCTTGTCCTAATTTTAATTATTTTCAAAAATAAAATGCATTTTTCTAATTTCAATGATTTTCAATATCTACTATTTTAATAAAATTTACCAAAAAGAATTAAATTATTTAAAAAAAATTTTTAATAAAATTGTATGCAAAAAATTTAATTATGTTCATATATAATAAAAATTTTAGTGGAATTCAAATATTATCATAAATAATAAAATTTTTTTTTAAGAATTTAATTATTTTCAGAAAAAATAATTTAAAATTCTAGAAAATAATAATTGAATTAAAATTATGAAAATAATTTTGATGAAGTTAGAGTAACAATATTCTTATAATATAAAATGATGATTTTATCTCTTGGCCATCTTTAATTAATAGAAAACATGAAGATATCGATTGCTCCGAGTCGAAGACTCGGAGTGATCGATTTCTTCATGTTTTATAACAAATACTTTTATAAGTTGTTTAATTTAAAAACGGTTAGAATTAAAAATTTTTTAATTATAGTTAATTAATTAATTAATTAATTTATTAATTAATATTATTAATAAATTTCCTTATAATACGTTAAAATCGTAAATATTTAAAAATAAATAATTAAATATAAACGGGCTTACAGAGGAAAAAACGCCTCTTCGAATTATTATTTTAATTACTTTTTTTTCTACTAAGAAGTTTTAATATTTTTTCCCCCTTAAAAATAATAGAGTGAGAGAGTGAAAAAACGTATTAATTAAAATTTACGCAATTTGTTAGAAAATACAAAAATTTTAAGTTTTCTAAAAATAAAAAAAAATCCCGCACAAAAAGTTGGTTTTCTCCTCGTACTTTTTAATTTATAAAAAATATCTTCCATGTGACATTTTCTTTTTTAAAATAAAATTCCTTTCAGTCTATTACAGGTAAACTTTTAATGCTCTTATTATATGAAGTTTCATATTTTTCTAGCCAACAATTTCTTGTTTCATTATTTTTCTGGTTAGAGTATTTTTTTTTTGGAATAAACAGGATTTTTTTAAGCACAAGGGATAATTCACTTTCGTTCATTATATTTATTATTATCAATATTATCATTTTCACATTATTATCATTTTATATTAGAGTAAAAAAAATATATATTTTTTTCGAAATATTAAACATGGTAAATGTTTTACAAAATTAAATTATAAATCAATTTTTTAATGATTGTTTACTGTAATAAAATTTAAAAAATCGAGTTGCATTCTGACTGGTTTCACTGAAGCAAATATAAAAATTAGTCAATTCAATAAAACTATTAGGTAAATATAAAAAATAGTAAAAATAAAAAATAATAAATATGAGGAGTAATTAATTTTAAAATAGTAGTATAATAAAAAAATGGTAAATATAAAAAATATAGTAAATGGAAAAAATAGTTATTACAAAACATTGTTAATTTAAAGAAAGTAGTAAATATAAAAATTATAAATATAAAAAATAGTAGTAAAAATAGTAAATATAAAAATTAGTTAATTTAAAAAAAGTAGTGAATATAAAAAATGGTAAATATATAAAATAGTAAATATAAAAAAATAGGTAAATATACAAAATGGTAAATATACAAAATAGTAAATACAAAAAATAGTAAATGGAAAAATAGTAAATATAAAAAACGTTAATTTAAAAAAATAGTAATTTTAAAAAATGATAATTTTAAAAAAGTAGTAATTATAAAAATAGTAAATATAAAATATGATAAATATAAAAAATAGTGGACATAAAGAAATAGTAAATATAAAAAAAACTATTAAATATAAAAAAAATAAGATATTATTGATAGGAGAGGGAGTAATAAGACAGATTGAGAACCGCGACGACAGTTTTTGAGGCGGGGGTTAAAGGGGGAGAGAATTGAACGCGTAGAGAGAGAGAAAGAGAGAAAGAGAGAGAGAGAGGGGGGGGGGTGTAAAAGCGGTGAGAAATGATGGTGAAATAAGTTTGGTGAATTCGTACGGAAATGTCAGTGAAATAACTTTGGGATAAATTCTTACCGCGTTTGGGAAAAGCGTACGGAATGCTTTCCCATATTTGACTTATATCGCGAGCGGGAAATGAAACGTTCGGCCGAAGGCGGGTAAAGTGCATCACGCCATACATATCAATACACCTAACCGAAGAGATGGCAAGGTAAAGCTCGATATGAAATTTTAAGATCGTGAACTTTGCCGATGAGTTTACCATAAATAAATAAAAGATGAGAGACAGAGAGAGAGAGAGAGAGAGAGAGAGAGTGGGGGAGGAAGGGGGGGGGGGGTGTTTTACTGAAAGCTTTTGCGACCTTTTTTTCAATTTCAACCCATAACTCGTGAAAAACTCCCGGTCATTCGGTCAGTTTCAAATGAAATTAAATCTGACAGATTTATTATATACACACATTATTTTATTTTCGAAAAAAGAAAAAAAAATGGTTTTTCATACATTTGATATTTGGAATATTTTTTTCATTGTTTTTCAATTTGTTTAATAATTTCATATTTTGTATTGTATGTATTATTATTTCATTATTAGGTATTAATTAATTATTTTTAATAATTTGTTTAATAATTTCAATTTTCTTATTTTACCTATTGTATTATGTACTTCTCTTCCTTTGTATAATTTAAAATATTAATTATTTAATTATTAGTTATTATAAAATTATTTTTATTTATTAAATATTTATTATTCATTATATAATCATATTCTTTTTTTATCTATTTATATTTATTCAATTATTCGAACATAAAAAGCCAAATGATAAATTATTAATTTTCGAATATATTCTCAATTTACACGAATAATTAATTAATAATTAATATTTTGTAAAACAATGACATACGTAAAATAACGAAACCGTTGTAATAATTTTATATA